CCGATTGCTGCTTGTCCTGAGTCGGCAAGGCTGACTCCTAGTCGGCCAGGCCGACTACCTCTGCCGTCTGCCCTGAGTCGGCTAGGACAACTTCCCAGTTGGCTAGGCCGACTGCCCCTGCTGGCGCCCAAGTTGGCCTAACCGATTTCTAGACGGCTAACTTTCTCGGTTCCAGCAGCCGCCGATGCATCTTCGGATGATTCGGCACCTATTGTCGATCATTCTCTAGAGATGAAGAGCAACATCATTCAAATCAAGGACGTGCACTTCTGCAACATGATCAACAATGTACAAACACAAATATTTTGCTCAAATTCCAATCCGGTCATACTATTTCAATTTCTGCATCTATTAGAGATATCCTTGCTAATAATTGTAAAAGACCGATTGATAATGGCATTTTATTTGTTGATGATAAAAACAAATTCAGATTCTATCGGCCATCACATTGAGCCATATGGCAAGGCCGATAGTGCTAGTTTGTCAAAGTTAAAGCTTCTCAAAAGCAAGCTGCAAAGGTGTGGCCGAATGGATTGATGTCAAATCTAATCCATTCGTTTGCCTAGCTTTAAAGCTGACTCCACAAAAGAATCAGCTAAAGAAATCAAAGCACACCTTTGACTTTACTTTTTATGATCATGTCTTTGAAATCTTGCTCAAGAATAATTTTATTAGAATCATTTATCACAATGCTTTGTCATCTGTTAAAAAATTAGAAGAGCTTATATATTGCAAATGGCACAATTCTTTTGATCATAATACTTCTAATTGAAATATGTTCTATCGAGTGATCCAATCGGCCATTGATAAAGGACGATTGAGATTTTCTGAAGCTCAACAAATGGACCAATTGGACTCAATTGGTCTTGATGGCAAACAGGTTTCAAATCAACTTGCATTAGCTTATTCACTCAAAGATCAAGGCTTTAATGCCCAAGAGAGAGATGTGGAGCCCTCAAGTGAAGACAAGGTTGTTGTATATGAATTGCAAATAGAAGACATTCGAGAGGATAGCAAAGTTTTCACAATTCCAGAAGACACAGTGGGGCAGGTGAAATCTCTCCAACTAAAGCAAAAGTCGATTGATCCCGTTGAGCAAGGAGAATCAGCTAAGAATCCTTCTTTGGAGCATGTCTATCAAGATGGGAAGGAGGATGCTCATAAAGTTGATGGAGGTAAAGGCCATGACAAACAAAGAAGTAGAAGGCCGAAGCTTAGCTTCGAGGAACTTCTAGCTAAATATGAGAAGGTAGCAGAAGCAAATGTCACTAATCAGCCAAAGAAGGTCCAATCATCAAGATTGCCAATGGGAGAAGTTCATGAAGGCATTTGTGGTATGCACCAATCGGCCCCAAAGATGAAGTGGTTATTGCGTAGAGCCGATTTCTATTGACCTACTATGATGGCCGATTGCTTTCATCACTACAAAGGATGCGAAGAGTGCTAGAAGTTTTGGAATATTCAGCTTGTGCTTGCTGCTATGCTTCATCCTATCATCAAAACATGGCCTTTTCGTAGTTGGGGGCTAGACTTTATTGGCCAAATACATCCCTCGTCTTCAAAGGGACATCGTTTTGTGTTGGTTGATACAGATTACTTTATAAAGTGGACCGAGGCAGTTCCTTTCAAGAATATGACACATAAAGAGGTAATTGAGTTCATCACTGAGCATATTATTCATAGATTCGGCATCCCTCAAACTTTAACTACCAATCAGGGGACATCATTTGTGTATAAGGAAGTGAGGGAATTTACCGAATTATATAAGATTAAGTTGCTCAATTCATATCCATACTATGTTCAAGCTAATGGCCAGGCTGAGTCTAGTAATAAGACTTTGATCAAGCTTATCAAGAAGAACATTGAGGAAAAGCCAACGAGGTGGCATGAAGTTTTGTCTGAAACTTTATGGGCACATCGTATTTCAAGGCATGGTGCTACAAAAGTTTCTCCTTTTGAGTTGGTATATGGTCAAGAGGCCGTGTTACCTGTCGAAGTGAATTTGGATGCATACAAACTTGCTAAACAAAATGATTTATCTGCTGTTGTGTATCATAACTTGATGATGGATAATATCGATGAGGTGACTGATGTGAGATTAAAAGCTCTCAAGGAAATAGAGAAAGACAAGGCTCAAGTTGACAAGGATATAAAAAGAAAGTCAAGATCAAATCCTTCCAAAACCATACTTCCAAATAGATCGAAGAGCAATCAGTTTGGCAAGTGGTCACCAAATTGGCAGGGTCCTTACAAGGTGATCAAAATCATATTCAGTAATTCCTATATGCTAGAGATATTGCAAGGTGAAGTCTCACAAGAGCAATCAACAGGAGGTATTTGAAAAAGTACTTTTCAAGTGTTTGGCAAGAAACCTAAGTGCTCTTCAAGCAATGTCCGATATATGTATCACTCTTAGAACAAAAATGGTCGATGTATACATCGCCCTTAGTCGCTGAGCAACGGATGAGATGGGTATCGTCGCTGTTTGGTTTTGTTTGATTAAGTGTTTTCAGGTTCAAGCATCATTCACCTGAAAACAGGGGGCATATGTTGACAACCAAAATTGTCCATTTTGTGAAGTTGCCAAAACATGAAACGGACTACATCATTGCGTTCCTCTCATCGAGATGGTCAAAAAATATATATGGAACGTCCAACTTGGAGTCCGGTTCAAGGAGTTATGCTCCTAGTAAGATTGCTCCGTTATCGGAAGTTCCGAACGTAGGAAGTTTCGATAGGTGTCAGAACTTTCGGGAAGCTTGAAAAAACATGCTCGGTTACCTGGGGTTATCCCCACGTCGGGAGTTCCGACAAAGGTCAGAAGTTCTGACTCTAGGAAGTTCCGGCGGAGGTCAGAACTTCTAGCATACCTAATTAAAAACCCTGTTTGAATCTGATCTTTTGAATTCCAATCCAAACTATTTCAAACTCGTGGGAAACTTGAAAAATAAGTCTTGGAGATGTTTCCTACTGGAATAAGACCATCCTCCTCTATATATATGAGAGTATCATGGCCTATTGAGTTCCCTTCTATCTAATCGTCAAACAAATCAATCTACTACCTCTACTCCAATCATTTTACCCTCTTCTCTAACCCCATGTGTTCATCCCTTGATTCGACGATCAAGGATGACGTCCTAGGCTTGCCAGCCGATCTAGGGCAACCCAGCGACGTCCTTGCCCTGACGGGGTCCCTCCCGGGTGAGAGTTTCGACGGTTTCTTTGCTAGTTTGCCTGAAAACTAGCCGGTTCTTCGTCACGTAAGCACATTGGTTATTCTTTGGTGGTTTGTTTGTAAACTCCTCCGTTCTTCACCGCGAAAGTGTGACATCTTGCTGCGTTCTTTGGTCCGTAGCAGCCCGGACGTCAAGGCCATATTTGTGTTTGATTCGGATCACTTTCGACGTCAACACAATGCAACTCATGTAATCAGCTGTCCCTCTGTGATGGCTTTAAACTCTGTAAATGGTGATATCTTCACCATCATCGCAGCATCTTGCTGCTAATAAAATTGCCATTTATCAAAAAAAAGAAAAATGATGATAATCGTCCGCCGCGCATGCCGCATGGCAAGAGGAAAAGGAGATGATGGCAGGCAGAGAGAGACCACAGAGCGAGATAAAGCGGCATTTCTCACGCACGCGTTGGCGTTGGTGCTGAGTAGGATCCATCGTGCACGTCACGGAGAGAGAGCCTCAGCCTCACGCGTCCCGATCTCCGATCCGCCGTCCGTCCGTCCGTCTGTCGGCTTCTGATCGGACGACTCGCCGACCATGAGCCAGCAGTGCACAATGGCCAGTCGATCTGTCGCCATCATATAGCACACAACTTCTGTGCTTGCTCAGTTGGCCTTGCGTTGCTTACTTGTCCTTGTCGATCAAGCGAGACACGACACGACACCAGCGAGACTGCAGCCGCGGCCTCTCCGATCCGTTTCCTCCTCCCTCGCAATCGATTCGATCAATCATTGTCGTCTCCACCATCTCCGATCCTCCCTACCTAGTCTAGTCCAGCCTGCCTGCCTGCCTGCCTGCCTCAACGGATCGACGCGACAGGAGGGAAGAAGAAGGGGACGATCGGAGTCTGAGATGGAGGCCGGTAACGGGCAGATCCACCGCAGTGACGAGCGGGAGGAGATGAAGCTCATCATCGACACAGATCCCGGCATTCGGTGCGCACTCTCTCCTCTCTTTCCTCGCTATATATAGAACACTCCTTCAGATTCAGATTGTGCTAGGTGGATGCTCGTTGCCATGCCTCGCTTGATTCCTAAGTGAACTTCACACCTCTGCTCCAACTAGGAAATTAACCAGTTCTGAATTCTGATTCGTGGGGATTCTCTCACCTCTGCTCCCACTAGGAAATTACTAACTGAACATTTCAGATGGGTTGCAAAAGTCCTTCGCCTTTCCTGCCCACTAAATTACTTATCTGGTAGCTTAGGATCATGTTTTTATGCCTGCGCATTGCACATATACGCAGCACTTTCTGCCAGGGGGTTTGGTTCCATCGGAGTCCATGAATATCCGCTCATAGTCCTGATTCCTGAATCGGACCTGTTCCCCACGGTCCATGAATATCCACACTGCAGGATGCGGGACCAAAACATTCTACCGCTTTTCTTTTTCCTTTTTTAATATACATAATAGACGGACCAAAGATGTCACTCTTTCTGATTCTGTATTTTGAAAAGATGCCACTCTTTCTTAAAGAGGTCTCCAAGTATACTTTAAACTTTAGCGATATCGTCATGGAGAATTTGCAGACCTGGTCACCTGGACACTGACAAGTGACCACCATTATATGTTCATTCATCTTAGATTAACCTGCAAATGTGATGTCACCATAGAGAATTTGCGTGCCTGGACACTGACCAGTGGCCAGCATCACATATTCACCTCAGATTTACCTGCAAACATTTAAACTTTTGTGATGTCATCATGGAGAATTTGCAATAACATATTCATCCTCTGATTCCAGATGACAGCGTGGCGATCATGATGGCGTTCCAGTTGCCGGGCGTGCAAGTCCTAGGGCTCACCACCATTTTCGGCAACTGCGCCACGGAGCATGCCACACGCAATGCCTTGATCCTGGCAAGCAGTATTAGATATATATTCATGACAAATTTACCCCTTTTCCACTTCGTTCCTTCATCTTTACTTACACTTGCAATTCTACTTCATCTGGATTCTGGAATGCTAACAGTGCGAGAAGGCAGGCCATCCAGAGGTTCCAGTAGCAGAGGGCAGCCATGAGCCTCTCAAGGTATTGCTCATGCTACCTACTTTGCAATTTGTTCCTCCATATCTTCCGAACAGTTGTAGCACCAGAGAAAAATCTGTATAGCTTCAGGTGACACTAGGTTCAAAGGCATAGTGAAAGAGTCAATGAACTAGATAGTCTACATTATTAAAATGTGTCCATTGGAGTTTACAGTTCAATCATTAATTTTTCATTAAAAAATAAAAAAAAATAGTTCAACTTGGAAGTCAGGAACCAGGACAAGTCTGAAAAATTTTGTGTATCACAGAAATCTGCATTGCCTGATGTCTGTACCATTTGACGTCCATTGAAAGCGACCTTGATATCGTCTCCTGAGTTCGGTAGTTCATTCAGCTACGTGGCATGGAATGGTTCACATCTTTGGGTTGTTAATAGGGAGGAAAGCCGGATGTTGCCGACTTTGTTCATGGATCTGAAGGCCTCGGGAATATAGAGCTTCCCGATCCCACTATCAAGAAAGTTGAGGAAAGTGCTGCTGAGTTCTTGGTGGATAAAGTCTCTCAGTTTCCTGGAGAGGTCTCTGTGCTTTTTTTAGAGTTCAAGGGTGGCCCCCGGCCTTTATATTGCAAAGACCAAACCATTAAGCGACCAAACCATTAAGCTCCTTACAATATTCAAAGTTCAAAAAACTCCAACAGAACCTCAGAAGGCCTCAACAGGCAAACAACCGCCCAGAATACCAGAACAACTACTAACATCATTACATCCCCCAGGCTTCCGCAACACTCGCAACGCTAAACCAGTTTCTTTCACGAGCCAACCTTTCCAGATCAACTTCATTTGTCAGCAGAGCATCAGCTGTATTGATCTTCCAGCCTCTCCCAGATTGATATAAGATGCGATCTCATTCATCATTCACCTGACCAAGCCAGGTAGACGGTGAGGTCTTGTGGCGAAACTTTTCAGTTTGTCTAGGTGATCCAGAATTTGGGAACGTTCTCCTTCGGACACAGAGAACTCCAATTTTGCAGCATTGCTATTACCTTCATTATCAGCACCTGCACATCTACCCAGAGAGTTCCCTGAAAACATAAGTTGTTCCTTAGTTTCCAAAGCCCCCACAGGGCAGTAGCACAAAAAATATTTTTCACTATAAATTTCCTATTACTAATCCACATAGTCCCAACAGAAACAAAATATGTGCCAACTTGTCTATTTAAGATCTCAGAAAGAATTAACCAAAGCTGTTTAGGTACTACACAGTTAAAAAATAAGTGATTGACAGTTTCAACCTCTGAACAAAACAAACAAGTAGGATCCTTGATTTTCTTCCTGATACTCAAATTATCCCTAGTCAGAACCTTATTTTTAGATAACAACCACAGGAAGAAATGGACTCTAGGTGGGACCTTCAGTGCCCAAACAGCAGAAACAAACACAGGAAAAATACCCCTAAAATTAATGACTATATATAAGGACTGTGAAGAGTATACACCATGAGAATTAAACTGCCATATTAGTGAATCTTCCTCATCGGTAAAGCTAATAGTAGAAGCTAACTGGACCACTTCTAATTAAAGATTGTATAATCTACCATCGACACATCTTCTAAAAATGCATTTCAAATCAATACCATCCCACAAGGATGCAACCGTAGCATCCTTCTCATTAATTAACACGTAGATCTTACAATATTGAATAGCTAGACTAGAAGTACCTAACCAATTATCTTTCCAAAACTTGCACTTCTTACCATTTCCTATATGCCATCTATATCCCATTTTTGCTACAGAAGCAGCTCTCATCAAACCTTTAAAGAACTCAGAGGCTCTAGAGGAGGAGCTATAAAAGATGTTAGGTCTATCAGTATTGTACTTGAAGTCTAAAAACTGTCTCCACATCTTATCACCATCTAGATTATACCTTTTAACCCAAGAAGCTAAGAGACACAAATTTAAATCTCTCAAGTTAGGAACACCTAGGCCTCCATACTCTTTCATCATACTGACACTCTCCCAGTTGGCCAAATGAAATTTACGGGATGTGGGGCTATCATCCCATAAGCAATTACCAAGATGAGAGTGTATAACTCTAATGGCCCACTTAGGAAATTTAATAAACGAGAGTAAGTATACAGGAATACTAGCCAAACAAGACTTAATGAGAACTAGTTTCCCAGCGTAGGACAATAACCTACCTCTCCAACCAGCCATTTTCTTCAACATTTTATCAACTAAAGGCTGAATGTCCTCCCTACTAAGCTTCTCATAATGCAAAGGGACCCCTAAATATTTGATAGGTAAGATACCAACCGGACAGGAGAACAAATGAGCAAGATTATAAACTGCTTCAGGTTCAACATTCATCGGAATTAACTCACTTTTATGAAAATTGATCCTCATACTAGACAATTGTTCAAACCAGATGAGGATACTTTTGAGGAGTATATTCCTCCTCAATTCTAGAAAAAAGAATGGTGTCATCTGCATACTGCAGAGACACAATACCGCCTACCCTAAAGTTTTCAGCTATCCCTTTAATGATACCTTTCTCGGCACCCTTCTGGAGCATTTTTGTAAGAACATCACCTACTATATTAAAAAGCAAGGGAGAGATAGGATCCCCCTGCCTTAACCCTTTCCCAGGTTTGAAAAAACTACTTTCTTCACCATTAAGGTTGACTTCCACAGAGCCACCAATGACTAAATGTCTAATCTAAACAATCCAAGTGTTACTGAAACCTCTAGTCCTAAGGATTTCAAACAAAAAAATCCCAAGAAACTCTGTCATGTGTCTTCTCATAGTCTAATTTTAGGATTAAACCAGGATCGCCTGATTTATTAAAACTATGTACTAATTCATGAGCAATCACAACACTCTCTAAAATATATCTACCTTGAATAAAGGCACTTTGTTGAGGTCTCTGTGTTTGCCTTGGGTCCTCTGACAAACGTAGCATTGGTATGTTATTTCTGACGCTTGAGAATTTTGAGAGTTATAGTGAATGTATGATTGATTGTTGATGGTGGTGATTATGCTACAATATTTCGCAGGCCATCAAGAAGGATATCCATCCTTCGTGAAAAATGTTAAGAAGATTGTTGTGTTGGGTGGAGCATTTTTTTCAGCTGGAAATGCCACCCCTTCGGCTGAAGCAAATGTAATGCCAATCATGCATGTCAGTGTGCAACCAGAAATCTTAATGGTGATTGCCCAGGCCTAACGTAATGTCTTCATTTACCCTTGCAGATTCACCACGACCCGGAGGCAGCTGATATAGTTTTCACTTCTGGGGCAGACATCTACGTGGTTGGCCTCAACATCACAACGCAAGTTAGCTTTACAGGTTCTTGATCTTCCCCGAATCCTGAAAAAATACGAATATGGTCACCCCTTCTGATTTCAGTCACCATGTGTCATGTGAGGTACTGAACCTGCTGAGATACTGGCAGATAAGGATCTCCTGGAGCTAAGAAACTCGAAAGGGAAGCACGCACAGTTCTTATGCGACGTATGCAAGTTCTACTTGGACTGGCACATCAAGTCTTATGGTGCTCCTGGTACGCTACAACAATACATAGCTTTGTGTTATATACGTATATGCTGCCATCTTCAGAGTCAGGACACCTTTTGAGCTCATCTTTCTGGTTTCGGTCAGTGATTTTCCCACATGATCCGGTGAGCTTTGCCGCGCTGGTTTGTCCGGAGATGTTCACGTTCAAGAAGGGTGTAGTGAGGGTGGAGACACAGGGCATCTGCGTCGGGCATACTTCCATGGACATGTTGCTGAACAAGTAAGCGATGATTTGCGTTTTTTTTTTGAACCTTAGAGATTGTAGCTCACCGTCACTTGCTGCCACATCACGTTGGTTGGTGTAGGTGGAATTCAGAGAACCCATGGACTGGCTACTCGCCGATTTCGGTCGCATGGACGGTCGATGTGCCCAAGGTGGTCGAGTTTGTGAAGGAGCTCGTCATCAAACAATGAACGAAATTAACTAATATGTTATGAGCACTGCCTTCTCGCACACCAGATGTGCGCCAAATTTGAGATGTAGATATTTATTCACATTTGACGCACTGCAAACACTATTATGTCAATGATTGGTTCCTTTGGAGGACTTCAAATCAATTTGAGATGTTTTAAATTGCAGCATATGTGCCTTTGGACATTGAACTGGTATGGTGTTTTTTTTGGCTTATACTCCATAGACACATGTGAGTAAGACTAGTCTCGGGGGAGTTTTATGTGAGTTTCATTTGTATTAATTAGATTGCCACATAGACATTTTGATGACATAACAGTGTATTTAACCAGATAAAGAAGCCTCTTAGCACGATTGTAGTCTTCTGCTCGCCGGTCGCCGGAGACGAGGAAAATGACCCTAGAACAAGTGGTGAACACACGTGTGTACAGTGGAAACTCGGCAAGCTTTTGGTGCTGCAACAGCACAGCTTTTCTTCTACTATTTGCGAACATAAATAGGCAAAGATTACATGGCCGCCAAGGCCCTTATCCTACTGGTCCACGCCATGGGCTCCTACTGGCCCACGCCATCCCACGGATGAGAGCGCAACAAGCCGCGATCACCACTACTTGCTAAGTCTACAGCTAACGCACTCGATTTGGCTAAGATCGAGTCCAAGTTTCCTATCTATAGCCGGAGTGAAGAACGGAACAAATTGAGCTTGGAATATCTAACAACGATACTCTATATAAATCATGAAATTAAATACCTATAAAACTATAAAATGAAACTTTATATTAAGAATGGGTGTTTCATCCAAGTTTTATTTCATTCTATATGACATTGCAGTTTTGGAAAACAACGCTACGAAACTATCTACCGAGACTGGCCTAATAATTTTCATCAGAAACAATTTGCTTCCCTACTTCCAAGAGCATTGACATCATTCACGCGTACATTGGTTGTTTCAATGCAAACTGGCAACAACAATAACCCTGGTGGTGCAAGAAGCATTTGATTTGTTGTTTGGGAACCGAGAGACCATACACATAATTGCAAATTGATTATACATAATTGCAAATTGATTATACATAATTGCAAATTGATTAAGGCTTCGGAGTCTCTTTCAACTCACACTTCTTCTCAAACCCAAAACCAAGGCAGTGAGCTTGAGGTTTTTACTAAGGCCATATTTGCTTATCTTATAATCCGTATTTTTCTGCTTGTCTTTTCAGCTGGAACAGTATTTTTCTCTCACAACAAATCAGCCGGAACAGTATTTCAGCTTGTTTTTTCAGCAAAGCGAACGGGGCCTTAGGCAACCTCTAGCCGTCTAGGAGGAATTTTTTATTTTAACATTTTTTTTAAACTAATTTTAAATTTAACATTGTTTTTTTTTCAAAACTAACACTTTTGGCCGCGTCTATTGTCATGGCGCGGTGAAACGCCTGTGCCGCGCCACGCATAGTGGCGCGGCAGGAGGCTGACGTGGCGACGACCGGGCCTGCTGACCGGTGACGTGGCAGGGTCTGCCGCGCCACCTATCTTGGTGCGGCAGTGACGTGCCACGGCGCAAGGCGCGGCAGTATCTGGACGGTTTAATCAGAACTTCCCGCGTCGATAGTGGGAGTTACTCTACGTATTGCTTGACGTAAAACCAATAGTGGATTTGTTTATGTCTTTTGTTTAATCTTTTTCACGGCTCGATAGAGAATTTGGTAACTAACCGATTACGAAAAATTAGATCGGATTTTGCGGTTCTTTTTTCTGCAACACCTCGACGTGACAAAGCGTGAAAGAGGTTCAAGAATCCGTTTTCTTCTTATAAGGGCTAAAAACGAATCACTTAATTTTTTGCCTTTTTTGCCCCATATTGTAGGATCGGCAGCGACGCAACCATGGACCCCGGCTTCCTCGATCCCTCACGCAGCACGGTCGACTACTACGCATCTAACCACCCGCCTTCTTCGGCGATTTCATGGCGGCGATGACCAAGCTCGGGAGGATCGGCGTCAAGGCGCTGGCCACCGGTGTCGAGATACGCCGGGACTGCCGGTTCCCGAACTAGTTGCTACATAATCTCGCGGGCAGTGCTGGCGCGACGCATTGAAACGAATATGAAGCAAATAAATAAAATCCGTGCGCAAGTTGACAAGCTGCCACATAACATTTTTATTGGTTTGACATAAGTTCGACATAACATAACCAACCAAGCCTATAAGTTTCGGACGTCAATATTCGTTCGACCTAACAAACTAAGACCCAGGAGTGTAAGGATCCCTCGGACGCCTCTGTCCCTTCAGATTGGGTGTAGCCAACGTCGGTGTGGTTGCGTCGCCGGTGCGTACGGCTCGTACTCTGCAAGTATATGATATGCACGATTACTTATAATCTTTATAATCGTTAGTTTATGGAGCCTACGTATTTAAAGAAACTACCTTTGTTAGTACTTATGAGGCTCCTTGGGTACCAAGCAGGGCACCACCTAGCTGAGACATGCCGATTTCGTCTCTGCGGCCAATCGTCCCACTGGTCGTGCTGTCTGCGGAAGCCCGAGGGGTCGTCGTCGTCGTCATTGTCGTTCTCATCATCCTCGGTTGCAGGGTCCTTCCCAGCGCTATGATGTGGTGGTGTACGCACTATGAAAGTGGCACCTGTCACTGGCTGAGAAGAGTCGGCTGGTCTCCTCAAAGAGGCTGAAGATGTGCCACCCAAGCGCGCCGGGAGTGGCGGTTCCACCCAAGGGGTGTCCATGCAGCTCAGCTTCTAAGCTAGCTTCCTGCGGCTCTTCTTCACCTTCTGCATAAATAGACGTTAAAGTTAGTACATTTCCCAAACGCATATACACTAAAGAAATATTTTCAGAACGGACAAGTTTATGTTTACCTCCACAAAAGCCTCGAGAACGCCTGGCCCCTGCCCTCTAGACTCGTGAAGCTAGAACGTTGCTTCGTTGGACATCCTTGACAATTATGTCGCCTGGGTATAGAAACACGGTTGGACAGTTTTAGTACACATACTTAATACCAAATGGATAACAAATTGTACCATTCAAATATCTTACCACGTATCTTTGAAATGGGGCTCTCTGTAGCTGTGTGTCCTCCCTAGTGGCAACGTCGTACACATCTTTGATCACATTTTCCTCCGAGTCCTCGTCAATCGCCTTCTTAGTGTACGGGGGCTTGATATGTGTCCTCGTAGACCTGTGAAGCCACCGCAGGTACTCGTCGAAAATGTGCTGGTCGTGTGGAGGACCCGCATGGACCGGCTACCGTTTCCTGTTCTACCACAAGTGGATGTGCGTGTTGTGTGTCACGCGCCAATCCTTGGTCTTGTACCTCTTCCTACGGTCATACCTGCAACAAAACGATGTTAGTTATACCACACACACACCTCTAAATTGTAGCTTTGTTATTAATCGATAACGCACCCGTGCAATTCTTGGTTGGTGGAGTAAAGCGGTGGTGGGCAGCCTATCATTCTTCCAAACTGTCTGCAGACCATGATGGGCAAGTGAATCTCGACCGCATGGAAGAAAATAAGAGGGACGTTGCAGCGATACTCGTCTGACTCATCCCTAGTGATAGGACTAAGATAGTACAGGAGCTCCGGAGCATCCCAAGGGCACCAATGCACTGACTCATTCCTAAGTGATAGGGTTGTGAGATAGTGTACATCAAACAAGACACATGTATGATAGTAAAGAGAGCATCCCAAGGTTTGTGTCAATGTCGAGACCGAACATTTCATAATTGAGTTAGGCATTTGTGATATAGTGTACATCAAACAGGAGTGTATCATGCCCATTCTATGCATTGAATACGATAATGAAAAGAGCATAATCATATGTAGCGCCTTAAAGAATATAGTGTCAAGTACTACTGTAAGGGGTCTAACAGACCATCGCTCCCAACACCAAACCTAGAGTAGGTAGGAGCAACCCCCAAGGTTGTACGAGGTGCGATGGTAGGCAACGATACGAAAGTGCATCTAGCCCTTTAGTGAGTTTTGGATGATTGAATGACAACACCTCTAACTAACATATTTGCTAAGTGTTAGACAGGAAGTTGATTATCTCACGAGATACTTGATGAAATTGTATAAAGCCAAAATGATGTATTGTTGTATAAACAATCTAGTTCAATGTAACAACAGTGTATCATGCCCATTCTATTTATTGCATTGAACATGATAATGAAAGCAAGCCGATTAATCAAATCATCAGGGATTGCATATGGAATGGTCTCGAAGCTTGCTAAATTGAAAAGAATGACAATACATGAATGGATGATTCAACACAAGATGTGACTTGATGGCTTGAGATGGTGAAGATAGCAAGGAAAGGCTTGAGGTACTAAGCAAGGGTGAAGGGCAATTTAGCGGCTTGGCGGCGAAGAACCTAGCTAGGGTGAAGAAGGAAGTACTTGCATTTAGTTGAGGTACTAATCAAGCTATGATGGCCATGTTTATGTGGAGGATCAAATCACTATTGGAATGTTTGATAGAAGTGACTTGATACTTTTAGAGTTATTCATATTTGATGAATGGAATCAAGTCACGTGCTCAAGATGGCTATGCTCAAGTGACAAGATCAATATTGACATGTTGGCACCTCTCACTTGATGAAGATTGAAAGACATCGGCATCAATTTCAAAGAAGATCAACTCAAAAGGTTTAATTTCGTTTTTCTTTTGATCTTGAGTTAATAGGTATGCCGTACTATTAAGAGGGATAGTGGTATGAGGAAGATAGAGTGCTCAAGCATAATAATTAAATCAAAAGAGAGACACTCAGCACCCACGAGCACATAGAATAATTTTACAGGATTACCGTTTATTGTCGGAGTAGTCGGAACTCCCGACGGTCGGAAGTCATGACTCTTGCCGGAAGTCTCGACTCCCGATCCTGACTGCTGTGATGGATCGTGGTCGTCGAAGTCTGATGTGTCGGAACTCCGGCGGTCGGAAGTCCGACCCAAGCCGGGAGTCCGGCATCGATGGTTCTCTTGACTGCATG